AATTCCATGGCTTTGAGATGTCAGACATAGTCTTGAAGACAAATTCTAGAGAACCAGTTTCATGCAAAGCACTCTATCAGCAGAATAATTTGGTATTAGTGTAATGCTATTAAAATTTCAAGTGAACACATTAATAGGACTCTGGAAAATAGAATAATTTAATATATAGGTAAATCTAGATTTTCCAGACTATTTAATCAGAAAGCACATGGTAACAAGAGAGAGAAAGACAGGTTAAACAATGAAAGAAAAAGGATAGCTCTTCCTCCCTGGTGATCAGACCAGTGTGCTGCTGCTTAAGCTAGGTCTTTGCCTCAGCCATCTGCTGTACTACCTGTAGGCCGAGCCAACCCAAGTATCATGTCATTAGAGCTTGAGGGTCCTTTGAGACCTGCTTCACCATGCTTGAGGCTGGTGGATCATGTCATGCTGCATCTCTAGAGATGAGATCCCATTGAGGCCTGCTTCAATAAGCTCCTGCCTACTGATGGTTGCTGCCCCAAGCTGCTGGCTGCTGGCTGCTGGCTGACTTTGCCTATCTTGCCTGAGGGAAGACTCTGTTGTCTGCTTCCTTGACCTTGGACTCCAGCAGCCTGCATGAGTTGAAGGACCTTCAGCTTCTTAACAGTTCCATGAAAAGATCCCTGCCTAACACAATAAGCAAGTATAGTGAAGAAAGCTCATGGTGCCTGGCTATCAAAAGGTAAACAAGTGGCCATCCAGCAGGGAAGGAACAAAGCCCACATGGAAGAAACACACCAGACTGTGTGATCATGAGGTGTTCATGGAAAGATGTATCAGAAGTTCAAAAATTCACAATCAAATCGTTGTGAAGGGACATGGATGTAGCGGATACCCAAAACTCACCTGTAAGATAATTCATTGGACCCTCTCAGAAGGGCCACAAGGAACAGATGATGTATCTAGGTTGTGACATTGGGGCGAAAAACAAAGCAGCAAGGGGAGCAAAGCAATGAAGTCCTGGGGTAAACCAAAATTAGACTTTGGGGCTAGGGCTCGACCAGAAAACATACCTAAAGGTCATCAAACAGACCTGGAACTATTTATAGGTGCTTTTTTTGTCATTGTTTTTTTTGTTTTTGTTGTTGTTCTTGTTTGGGGTTTTTGTTTTGTTTTGTTGATTTGTTTTGCTCTGTCTTGTTTTTGTGCTTATTATTGTCTTTGCATGTTTATCTAGATAATATAGGCGGGATAAACAATCTGGAGGAGAAAACAAAGGGACCTATGGTTCTGTGTGACACAAGACAGGGGAAGGGGGAAAGGAGAGGAGGGTGTCAACAAACCCAGGGACAAGGGAAAAAGTGATCTAAAATCAATGGTGAGGAGGACATAGGATGCCTAGTGGGGCTTGATCAAGGGCAATGTAGGAGAGAGGAATTACTGAAACCTGAATGAAGGCCTGACATGATAGTGGGACAAGAGGAAAGTAAAAGGAAACAGAGGAAAGAACTAGGAGGCAAAGGGCATTTATAGAGGTCTAAATACAGGCATGCACATATGTAAACATACTTATATATAATGATAGGGAACTAGATCTATGCACATATATGTTAAATATTAAGGTAACAGACAGACATTGGGCCTCTACTCAAGTACTCCATCAACACAAGCATCTTTTGTTCTAACAACCCTGCATTCCATGATGCTCACCCTCCTGACATGATTGCTGAAGACAAAATAGGTGCATAAGCAAATGTAGTAAAGAAAGCTGATGGTCCCCGGCTGCCTGACTATCAAAAGATATAGCATCTGGGGTCTTAAAGGCTTGAAGTTAAACAAGTGGCCATCTAGCTGAGAAGCAAGAAAGCCCACCTGGTAGAAGCACACCAGCCTGTGTGATCATGAGGTGTCAAGGGATCAGGTATCAGCCATCAAAGACCCAGAACAAAAAAAATCATATCGATGTGAATGAGGGGGAGGGCAGAGTGGAGACTCAAAGCACATCTGTAGACAACTGGACATCCCTTACAGAAGGGTGACAAGGAAGAGATGAGCCAGTCAGGGTGCAGTATAGCACCAATGAAACATATAACTTTTCTCTAGTTCTTTAATGCTTCCTCTCCCTCACTATTATGACCTCAATTCTACCTTACAAATCCCGCTATACCAGAGCATATACACTGGTACAGATAAAAGCTGGAAACACAGGGAATCCAGGACAGATAAACCCCTCAGGGCCAATAATGAGAGTAGAAATACCAGAAGGGTAAGGGTAAGGTGAGGGGAGAAAGGGGGAGCCAATCACAATGATCTACATATAACCCTCTCCCGGGGGGACGAACAACAGAAAAGTGGGTGAAGGGAGACATCGTTCAGTGGAAAACATGAAAAAATAATAATAATTTATAAATTATCAAGGGTTCATGAGAGAGGGTGGGGGATGGAGGGAAAACAATGAGGACCTGATACCAAGGGCTCAAGTAGAAAGTATTTTGAAAATGATGGTGGCAGCAATTGTACAACTATGCTTGATCTAATTTAATTATGGATTGTTATAATATCTGTAAGAGCTCCCACCCAATAAAATGGTTTAAAAAACTAAAGGTGGCACATTCATATTATGGAATATCACTCATAATAAGAAGAAATGGATGGATACATGCTACAACATAGATCAACCTTGAAAATATTATGCTAATCAACATAGATGAACCTTGAAAATATGCTAAATCGGTGGTTCTCAACCTGTGGGTCGTGACCCCTTTGGGGGTTGAACGACCCTTTCATAGGTGTTGCCTGATTCATAACAGTGGCAAATTATAGTGATGAAGTAGCAACAAGAATAATTGCATAGTTGGGGGTCACCACAACATGAGGAACTGTATTAAAGGGTCATGGCATGAGGAAGATTGAGAACCCCTATGCTAAATGAAAGAAGCAAGCCACAAGGCATTTCTATTAGGCAAATTCATAGCGCTAAGTGGTTGTTAGGGAGTGGACTGGCTTTTAGACTATTAATGGATGCAGAGATTCTTTTTGTTATGATAAAAATGTTCTAAAATTAGATTATGGTAATACTTGCATGCTACCCTGTTTCCCCGAAAATAAGTGTCTTATATTATTTTTTGCTCCCAAAGATGCACTAGGTCTTATTTTCAGGGGATGTCTTATTTTTCCCTGAAGAAGAATACGGTACACAACAGAGTATGCAGGTGACATCACCTTACATGTTGAACGTGAAGAGAACTTGAAACATTCACTTATCAGTGAATAAGGGAATCCTCAGAAGAATGAAGAAATTAGTTTTAGAAGAAAAACAACCAGAATGATCTTACAAATGAGGGTGGCAAGGTTTCTTCTTTTTTACTTTGGACAGGTCACGAGGAAAGACCAAATCCTAGAAAAAGACAGCATATTTGGTAAGTGAAACCCTCAAAGATCAAAGATTTCACTATGGATTTCAACTCAATGTAAGGAAAACAAAATATGCATGTGACAGCTGGATAATTAATAAATAAATAAGACCAAAGAAGAACTGATGTCTTTGGATGATAGTGTTGGCAAAGAATACTGAAAGTACCATGGACTCCCAGAACAACAACAACAACAAATCTGTCCTGGAAAAGGTGCAGCAAGAATGGTCCCTAGAAGAGAGGCTAGGGAGACTTTGTCCCATGTACTTTGGCACCTTAACAGGAGAGACCTGTCCCTGGAAGGGGATATCATGTTCGGTAAAGTAAAGGGTCAGATTAATACAGAGCCTTCAACAATGAGCTCAAGCATAACCACAAATTGTGAGGTTGGCAGCGGATCGGTGTTTTCTTCTGTTGTACATAGGGCCCCTGTGAGTCAGAACTGACTGTACAACACCTAACAACAAGGATGGTGCAATTCTGTGAATATCCTGAAAGTATCGAATTGTACGTAAACTTTAAAAGGGATGAATTCTATGATGAGAATTCCATCTCAATAAAGCTATTAATGAATAGGCCAATAGAACAACTTGAATAATAATAATATTGCTGAATATTGAATATACTGTGAACTGCCAGAAAAATGAGAAAAATCAATCTTAGAAGAAATAACTGGAATGCTCGTATAGGTGAAAATGGCAAGACTTTCTCTCGCGTACCTTGGACAGGTGCTGAGGAAAGACCAATCTCTAGAAAAAGACATCATAATTGGTAAGGAGAGCAAGTGACGTCCTCAAGGAGATGGACTGACAACAGCCAAACAATGGCCTCTGACACACCAGGGCAATTCACAGCACCAACAACAACCTACAGGACTCACCATGTTTAAAGTGTTTTACATATTAAATCACTAAACATGGCCAGCACCACTACACTGAGCTTTGCTTTTCAGAGAAGAAACAGACACAGATGTCATGCAATTCTCCAAATCACACACCCAACAAAAGGAGCAGCCGAGATTCCAGCGTAAGGATCCCGGGTCCATCGTGTCGAACTCCTTGACTTCCTTTCGAAAGTCTTTTAATGCGTTCATTTTCTGTGTGTCCCCACTGGAAGGTCAGGTGCTTGCAGGAGTTTCTTTGGAAAACTTACCCTGCGCGTAAAGAACACTGCCCCTGGAACCCTTCATAACATCCGAAAGGCAGATTAAATTATAACTGGGACAGGAACATGTTAGGCTCTACAATAAACGCCTACCTCGAAGGCTCTTTTGGACTGTCAAGGGCTGGTTCAGTGTGAAGTGAAGCTGAAGCCGTATTTGAAGCGTTTTAGAAAAGGCCGGCCGAGGGGGACAAAATGAAAAGTGAACAAGTCTTTTGAATACAAGTGTTTTCGTTGGCCGAACGGGCTTATCGTTTCCGGGGGCAGACGGCATGGGGAGACATTACTGGAGATGTGATACAGAGGGACAGGTCGGCCACACCATCCCGGAAACGACAAGCTGCCTGTGGCGGCGCGCAGGGACGGGAGCGCGCACCGGGGGCGGCGCCTCCGCCGCGCCCCGCCCCGCCCGGGCCTGGCGGAGGTGACCCGGAAGTGGTTGGGAAGCGCCCGCGCGAGCCTCTGTCCTCTTTTCCGGTCGGCGTGGTTCGCGGCTGGAAGTCGCTGGCGCCCCGGCCTTCACCATGAGCGTCCCTGCCTTCATCGATATCAGTGAGGAAGATCAGGTGAGCTCCCAGGCAGGGGGCGCCGCCAGGGTGGGGTCGGGTTGGGTGAGGGTCCGTCTCCGGGCTCGCAGGGCCTGCCGCGGAGCTTGGGCCCGGGAGGACGCCACCCTGCCGAGCGGACTCGGCGCCCGGACCTGCAGCTCCTCTTCCCTCCACGCCCCGTGGGGGAGTCGCGGGGCGCGGGTCCCAGTGGGGGAGTCGCGGGGCGGGGGTCCCAGTGGGGGAATCGCGGGGCGGGGCTCACAGTGGGGGAGTCGCAAGGTGGGGGTCCCAGTGGGGAATGGCGGGGCGGAGGTCCCAATGGGGGAGTCGCGGGGCGGGGTCCCAGTGGGGCAGTCGCGGGGCGGCGGTGCACCATTCAGGACTGAGATCGCCGCAGCCGGTGGCGCCGTGTCCCGAGCCTCCATGCCCCGCTTCTTGGCATCAGACTTCCCAGGCCTGGCGTCCCTTCTGACGACGTAGTACTTTTTGACCGACCCAGATGGGGTCTCCTCCCGTCCCGCTGATGAAGCCACACCCGAGTGGGAGGTGACGCATCTGTAGAGTTTAATCTTGGCTCACAAGCGAAGGTGTCTCGTTGACCCATATTTTGTATTCTTGCTGGTTCAAGGTTGAGAGTGGTTCGTTAACTCAAAAGCATATGTCACTTTTACCCTCCGATTTGGGGAGGTTTACACCTTTTTCTAGAATGCTCAAGTGCCATCTGGGTATTTTTCACTTTTCTGTGTGGGGTTCGCTCTTTGAAGTGAAGGGCTGACATTGACTCCACGAAAGTTTGATTTTAGTTGGCAGAAGTAACACATGAAGCGATGTCAGCCTTTACAGTTTGTGTAATTCCTCCTCCAGCATTTCTTAGAGCTATGATGCTCCATAATCTTCTTGAGTTGAGGGATTGGGGGTTTTGTAAAGGAGATTCTGACATGCTGCTAGCCTCGTTTCCATTCCTTTTAAGAGAGCTCTGCCCTAGACCAGTACTTTTTTGAGACACTTTGCCGCATTGAATGCCTATTAAGAAGAGAGTTAACATCCAGGTGACCCGATACAGTACTGTAATTGGGTTTTTATACTTCCAAAAGTGGTTTCTGACCCAGGTATGAGCCCTGCATTAAATTTTTTTAATTATGTTGGTCCACATTGATTAAAAGTCTATCAAGACAACTTACAGGGCCATAGCATTTTTATCTCCCCCAAATGCTTCCCTCAGGGTAATTCCTGCATATGTAATCTCTTGTAAATATGAAATAACTTTTTCTAGTACCTATGCTAGTATGTACCGCTCAGAGCAATACACTTTCATTTATTTTGAGGGGGGGGAATAAGCTTTTTAACATTTCAGATCTATTTCCCTTTCTGAAATCCCCCAGTAAACCTTTGGGTTTTGTGGAAATTTTCTTTATCTTTAATTCTATTTTCCTATGAATTTTGAAGCCCTCTTGTATTAGAAAGAAGACAGGTGATGGGAGAGAAACTGTCGATGAATCCACCCGATTTTGTTATGTCTGTGAGCCGGTGAATCGTGTACAAGAACCTTTTGTTCTAGTAGGCCGGCCATAAAATGTAGAAAAGGCACAGAGAGCACAATAGCATGAAGTTAAAGTAATAACTGAATAATAGTTTTATCCAGAAATGGGACAGAGTGATTAGAGATCTTAGATTGTTGTCATTCACAGTCCAGTCCGTTGTATAGATAAATAGCAGTTCTATTGGATTCAACAGGCTGCTGAGCTTCGAGCTTACCTAAAATCGAAAGGAGCTGAAATTTCTGAAGAAAACTCAGAAGGTGGTCTTCATATAGATTTAGCTCAGATTATAGAAGCCTGCGATGTGTGTCTGAAGGAAGATGACAAAGGTTTGTTGTTTAAAATATTTTAAAGTACTTTTATTGTGAAGCACATTTTTGTCTGCCTTGTGTTTGAGACTTTAGGTCTTTTAAGTGCTCACTATTGTCTTTTGTCATGTTTTTCCATGTACCTTTAGTTTAATCTGTTAATCCAAGTAATTGTATTATAAGAAAATACCTTTTGTTATGGTAATTCCAGAATGAGCTGCAGTGGGAGTGGGGTGACAATGGCCATTGAGTGGATCTTGATCCAGCGACCCTAGAGGACAGGGTAGAACTACCCCTTTGGGGTTTCTGATACCTTTTTGGCAGTGGGCATCGTGGTCTTTCACTTGCACAGTGGATCAAGGACTTGCAGGTTTAAATACTAACCTTGTGCTTAGCAGCTCAGTGTACAGGCCATGAGGTTTATGTTAACTTCAAGTAGAGTCTAATTTCAAATAATCTGAAGCCATTTACCCTATATACCGTATATATAACCCAATCCGATTAGCGGCCAAGGCACCTAATTTTACCACAAAAACACCATTAAAAATATGCTGGAAAACCTGGCTTTTCCATGAGTATATACGGTAATTATGTGGCTGGTTTCCTGTTTATTATGGGAAAGTGGAAATTTTAAAAATTGGGCTTCCTAAAACCTACAGTTAGGGGTAAACGTTAAACTTAGTGTGTAAGCAGTAATAACTGACAGCGTTGAACTTTGTATATGATGAGGCATGCCAGTCACCCCTCAGTGTTATTAGTTAGGTTTTCTAATGGGACTAAATTTTAGGTAGCAGTTTTCTTTCTCATTTGTAAAACATCTGTGGCTTTCTGAACTGTTTAACAGAACAGGCTTAGTTTGAATTCTTCAAATACTCTTATTTTTAAATTGATGGAGCCAGTGACTGGTTTAATAATTACATAGGGGCATAGCAAGGGAGGTTGTCAAGAACTAGAAAGGTAACAATGAATATGAGAAGAAAACGTTCTTCAATTGATTGTGGTGGTGCGTGCACAACACTTCTTAATGTGCTTGAACAGTTGCAGTATACCATATGTGAAGTATATGCCAATAAAACTATTTTTAAAATATGTACTATTTTTGCTGCCCTCAACTGAAGGAACAGTCTATTATTAAAATATTTTTAAAGTCTTAGGGGCAATGTTTAATGAGTCAGTGGAGTTAAACACTTGAAATACATCGTTAACCAGAAACATCAATTATGATCCTCTCACTGTTGGCTGTGTTATTGATGTATGTACAGATGTGGAAAGTGTGATGAACAGTGTGGTGTCCCTCCTCTTGATCTTGGAACCAGACAAGCAAGAAGCTCTGATTGAAAGCCTGTGTGAAAAGCTAGTCAAATTTCGAGAAGGAGAACGCCCATCTCTGAGGCTGCAGTTGTAAGTTAAGAACTAAACAAGGCTGACTTTTTAAAAGGACTATTTCATATCACTGTCGTGTAATGGTAGGTGCTCTGGTGGCTCAGTTAGAATGCTTGACTGCTAGCCAGAAAGATAGAGTGTTTGAACCTACCAGCCACTCCACAGAGAAAGATGTGGCAGTCTGCTCTAAAAAGGTTTACAGTCTTGGGCTGAATTTTATTCACCTGGACAGCGATGAGTTTGATTTGGTTCTTAATGATAAGAGCAGCAATTCTGGAACTTTATCATTCGCTTGATTTTTATTAGCTGTGTGGCCTTGGGCAAGTCATTTAATTTCTCTGCCCTAGTTCCCTCAAAGTAATGTTATTAATAGAAGCTCTTTCAGATTTGCTGTGAAGGCTGTAGGTGTGGAGTGCAAAGAATGGTCCTGGTGAGACAAGAAGTGCTGCATAAATGCTATTTGTTGTTATGTTTCATAAATTTGGGGGCTTAAGACCTATATAAGAACAGAGAACGTCAGCTTAGCACTAGGGTTACTGATCTTAAATATCGTGTTTCTGTTTGTTAACTAGGCTAAGCAACCTTTTCCATGGGATGGATAAGAATACTCCTGTACGATACACAGTGTACTGTAGCCTCATTAAAGTAGCAGCATCCTGTGGAGCTATCCAGTACATCCCAACTGAGCTGGATCAAGTGAGTTATTCTGTGGAATTGCTTGTTCTGTTTCTAAAGCAGCTTTATGTTAAGCTAAAAGTTAGCAAACGTGTATGTTTAAAATGTTATCTTTTAAACTGTAAATTATTCAACTGGCGAATTTTCTTTTTGTCATTTCCTCTGTAGGTCCGAAAATGGATTTCTGACTGGAATCTCACCACTGAGAAGAAGCACACCCTTTTAAGGCTGCTTTACGAGGCACTAGTAGATTGCAAGAAAAGGTATTTCACATGAATTTTGCTCTATTTCGTACTTTACAGAGTTCCTATAAATCGATTTCTGTACACTTCACTTACTAAGTCAAAGACAACTGTAAAGTTTAGTTTTCCCTCATCTTTGCACTTTCTAAAAAGCAAAATATTTTTGTAATTAAAATGATAAAACTGTTAAACCCAAAGCTGGTTATGACATGCAGTGGCATCATTGCGTTTGCTCGTAGTATAGGTAGTGCTATTGCTTTTGTTTAATGGTGGTGATTGTCAATCAAAATTAATAGAAAGTGGCTTATATAAATAATGCCCCTGAGATGAAACTGTATTCATTGTTGGGTGCCAACTCATTGGTGACCTGACCCTATGGACAACATAAATAGAAGCGGGGACCTGTGCCATCCTCACAGTCATTTGTAGTATTTGAGACTCATGTTGAAGCCATTGTGGTAAGTCCATCTCATTAACAGTGGTTGTCATTTTGGCTGACCATCTGCTGTACACCAAGCATGGTGTCTTCCTACAGAAATTGGACTTGACTGATAATTGGTCCAAAGTGTGTAGGAAAAAATGTTGCCAGTCTTCTAAAGGACATTCAGCTTCTTGCTTCTAGGGAACGTTTTTCCAAGACATTGTTTTCTGGCAGTTCAAGGTGTATTGAATAATCTTTGTCACATCCTACTCAAATGCATCAGATCTTTGGTCTTCCTTATTCATTGCTTCCACAGGCATAGAAATCCATTGAAAAATACAGTATGCCCTGTGTCAGGCTCCTTAGGCCTCAAATTAACATTTTGCTTCTTAACCACTGAAAGGGGTCTATTGCAGCAGAATGACTTCAGTTCACTGCTGTCAATTTTATTTCGACTCATATCAACTCTGTTGGAGTAGAACTGCCCCTGTGGGTTTCTGCAATTGTAACCATAGCCTCATCTTCCTTCTTCAGAGCAGCTGATGAGTTCAAACTGTTGATCTTGTGGTTAGTAGTCCAAGACATAACCCCTATGCTACCAGGGCTCCTTGCCGAAGGACCTGTAAAAGACTCACTGCCGTTGAGTCAATGACGACTCACAGCAACCCTATAGGACTGGGTAGAACTGTCCTTGTGTGCTTCTGAGACTAATTCTTCACAGGAGTAGAAAGTTCTGTCCTCTTTGGAGCAGCTAGTGGTTTCAAATTGCTGTCCTTGCAGCCCAACTCGGAGCCACCAGGGCTCTTCACGGAAAGACTTAGTGACCTGAAAACTGGCAGTGAAAATCTTAGGAATAGCAGCAGAGCATTGGAAGATACAGTCTGGAAGGTGAGCCTCTCAGGATGAGATCGGAAGGGTGGCTTCCTTCTAGTAGAGCCTACCTTACTGACATGAGTAACACTTCTGAGGGCTTCATTTGCTGGTGTGGCATGATTCAGAATGAGAACAAACATTCATTTGGAACCTGGAGGTACAAAGGAACATATGACGATTGGTAATTCTTAAAATGAAATGGGAAATGCTTAAAAATGGATATCCTAGCAATCAATTAGTGAGCTGAATTGGAGTGGTATGGGCCATTTTGAATCAGGCAATCAATCGTTACTGTGTCAGGAATGGCATTGGAAAGGAAGAGCTTCCCATGCATTGTCAAAAGCAACATTGTACTATCTGTCCTGTACAGCACTGTGAATATAGGATAGTAGCCACACCTCTCTATATAAGGAAGACTAGTGATACTACAAACTTTACAGTAGACTGATAAAATGAGTACTTTTTGGATTTTTGCAAGGTATTTTGAATGTTTAAGGTTTCATGCCCAAAATATTGCTTTTATATGCCCAGTTTAGAATAGTCACAAATGATGTTTGGGCTACTTTATAGAATTAGTATTGTTGTCTAGTGAAGTATAACCCTAGCTTTTTTACCAAATTTTTCTATTTCCTTTTTCATATAATCTATAGTCTGTTTACTTTGAGTTTTTAGAGTGTTAAAAATATTTTGTGGGGGGAAATCAGCAAAATTAGTATGTTTATCTTTTTAAGAATAAGTGAAAATCTGTGTTGCGAACCCAGGCCTCTGTTCACGGTATCTCAGTAAACGCACCACACTTGCCTACGTAGCCATCTTGAGGGTGTCCTTGATTGCTTCCTCTCCTTTAATCGCCGATTTTGATTATTCTGACCTCTTACGTGATTACAGTAGGAGAAAGATGAAGCTATCTTTTACCATCAAGATTTACGGCCCTAGAAACCCACAGTGCCCTATATATATTTGACTTGAGTCAGAGTTGACTTCATGGCAGTGACTTTTGAGACGCGATTCCATCTCTATGGGCCTTCATCTGCTTTTTTTGAGTTGTTGGAACAGGCTCCTTCGTGTCCGTGTCCGGGGATTTCCCACCCTGCAGCCACATTGGCTCTGTGAAACGGATTTTACTTTGTCATTCTGTAGGCTGTCGGGAAATTTTCATGTGCCATGCTGTCTGTTTACATATGGCCTCTTACCTACTCCCATACCAGGGCTTGTTGAATCGTGTCATTTTTTTATGGTGCAATGACCACAAAAACTTAGCTATGTATTTAAGGTAGTTTGTTTATTCCCTTTGCCCCTCCTGTCCCCTCTTCCACCCTTCCCCCCTTCTCTTTCACACTCAGGCACACAGTATCCCATGACTCTCCTCTTACTATACCATAGAGAGGTTTATCTCTCCTGGATTCCCTGTGTTGTGAGCTCTCTTAACTGTACCAGTGTCCACTGTACATGTTCTCGCATAGCAGGATTTGTAAGGTAGAATGGGGGTCATGATTTTGGGGGTGGAAGGGGAGAGGCGCGGCATTAAAGAACTAGAGGAAAGTTGTATGCTTCATTGGTGCTATACTGCACCCTGACTGGCTCATCTCCTCCTTGTGACCGTTCTATAAGGAAATGTCCAATTGTCTACCGATGGGCTTTGGGTCTCTACTCCACCCTCCCCTCACTCATATCGATAAGATTTTTTGTTCTGGGTCCGCCAACATCATTTTCAAGACATTTTCTTTCTTGAACTCTTTGATATCAGCTCCCCTTTATCCTTTATTCCCTCCCTCCCCCACTCTGCCCCCCAGGAACTCTTATTTTTATATTATATATGTTAGTATTATTATTTTTGCCATATCTTACACCATCCACTATATCCATTCACCTACAATTCTGTTATTCATTCCCCTCAAGTGGGATTATACAGTCATCTTTGCATTGGTGTCTCCCCCCACCCCTTAACCATACCCCCAGGGAATCGTTGCTCCCATTACTATTTCTGATAGGTTTGAAGTTTCATGAATCAGATTTTAAATTTCTGTCAGTCATCTGATTGAAAATTTAAGATTTTCTTCCCCTTAATACAGAAAATTTATTTTTCTTTCTAGTAGAACTCGCTCGGATTGTTGTGGTCTTTTGTAAGAATGCATACAGTTTACTAGTGCTTCCTTTTAATTATATTTGTAGTTGATGAGTGCCAATCTGGTGCATCTTTAAGAATAATACCAGTTAACTTCTGGAACCATTGAATATCAGATTCAACATTATTCTTTTAAGTTTTTCTATGAATTCTTATGGTTATATCTTATGTAAGATACTGATTGCCACTTGATTGTGCCTATCTTGATATAGAAAGCCTTTTAAAATGCCTTCTAACTTCTTAAAAGAAATGGTACTGCTCTTACTAATTTTATCCAGTCAGAATCTAGTTGTTGTTTTTGTTTTATAAAAAGAAACTTCCCTTTAGTAGCAAAGTGTTCTACAACTGACAAGAGATCCTTCAGTTTAAAGAAGTGATGGGTAAAGATAAACATTTTCGAAGAGTCTAAATTAAATGAATGCATGTACTTTCTTGTTTCATTGCAGTTAAAATTGATCATCTGCAATTTTAAGTATAAAATAATTGGAAAGATATATTTAATAGAGTTAATTTCCTTAATAGAGTTATTTAAATATTTGTATGCTGACCCTGCTTCAGCCACAATTTCAACAGTTTCTAGAATACATGCAACTTTTTTTCCCATCAGGACCTTTATGTCTTTCTTCCCTCTAAATCTTGCACTCTTAGGTCTTCAGTCTTAGCCAATTTTATATCCTTAAGATGTCAGCTTATTGGTCATAACCATCTCATACTGTATAAAGTAGCCTTTTTCCTGCTCCTGCTTATATTACATCATTACATTTTATTTCTTCATATCACTTTTTTTACTTGGTTTATCTGTCTTGCCTATCAGAATGCAGATCCCACAACTTTTCCCAAGAGAAGGACCATAATTCTTGGTCATCTTGTTTTGGCCTGGTACTAGACAGCTAGTAAATGCTTTGACATGAATCTGTGATACAAAGATAATTTGAAATTCCTGACACAGCCTTTCTTTTTAGTGAAGCTGCTTCAAAGGTCATGGTGGAATTGCTGGGAAGTTACACAGAAGATAATGCTTCTCAAGCTAGAGTTGATGCCCACAGGTAATATTAAACACGTTATCCTCAACAGGTCTGTTGGTAGTTGACATAGATGAGCTACAAACAGTATGTGAGTCTAACTCTGAAATCCTACTTGTAACTGTTAGTTATCCAAAACCATTCATCATGTAGACTCCTTGGTGATGTAAATGTGCATACTAAAGATCAAGATTTGGTGCATCAGGAATTGAAGAACCATGGGTTGCATGTGAAATCGCCACATAGAATCTAATTTTGAGTATTGGGGGGTGATAATCCCAATCTACATAAAACTATAGTATGTAGATGAGAAAACGTTGGGAAAAAAAGAAGGACTTTAAATAACACTGGATCTGCATAGTGACAATAAAAAATCCACTTTTAAATCTAAGAAATGTCAAGATGGTAATTGTCTTAAAGAATATTGCTTCACATGATTGATGGCGTTGATAGGAGGGGTAGTGGTAAAAACCTTTGAGGTCAGGCTGATGCGTTCAGATTTTTTCTTTGAATTGTTTCTGGTATTATGGACGTGTTCTCTCGGGCTATATTATTTTTGTTCAAGCACATGCATGTAGTAAATAAATTGATTGGCCTTTTTTTAACCCACTCTTGTAGCTATTGTTAATTCTGTATACGTATATTGGACTTTACATATTTTACTAAATTGAATATATTTTGTGATCTGAGAAAAGTACCATAATTCCAAAATGACAACTTGATTTTCTTTGTTTTTTATTCTCATTAAGGTGTATTGTCCGTGCATTGAAAGATCCAAGTGCATTTCTTTTTGACCATCTTCTTACTTTAAAACCAGTGAAGTTTTTAGAAGGCGAGCTTATTCATGATGTGAGTAGTGCTATCCTTTCAATATAAGACGCATTCTCTTCTTGAATCTTACAGAACAAGTGCTCTTTTTCTTTTATTAATGAACTTGACTTGACTCTGAAAAGATCTGTAATTTTTTGTATAAGGAAATAACTTTTAATTTCAAGACCAGCTTTCTCTAAAATTTTTGTCAACCAGCTCCAATCAAATTAGGAATATTTGAAAATAGGTGAACATACTTTTAAGTGCAAGTATAGATACATTTTGCATTATTTTCCATTTGGACTATGCCAATAACATCTTTCAACGTAAGGAATTCAGAGCTCATTGTTAACAGATTCTCTTAGTTTGTGTGATACTCTAATAAAGTAAATTGATTCTTCTGCACTGAAAGATGCATATTGCTGATAGCTAGTGATTTAAACATGTTCAAGAAGAGTCTTGATTCTATATTGACAGTATCTTGTTTTGTCTCTGTAGTTGTTAACCATTTTTGTGAGTGCTAAATTGGCATCATATGTCAAGTTTTATCAGAATAATAAAGACTTCATTGACTCACTTGGTAAGTTTGGGGCTTTTTCTTCGATGAGTAGAGAGGGTTTGGGGACGTGCTGCTTTATAACTTTTATTCATAGTGAGACCCAGCAAACAGTAGGCAGGGCCCCTCTTATAGATTACCCCTAACCTGTGGTAAATGCTAGAACAGGACAGCTTAAATTTGAATCAGAAATTGGGAATTGGAAACCTAAAGAACATAAGAACTAGGAATCAGAAAACCTAGGCCTGTTTTCTCTCCGTCAGCTTTTTGGGTTTTATGAGCCTCTTTTGCTCTACCTTTGGGATTTTTGGAGATAGTTATAGCAAGAAACTGGTTCTTACACAACATTCATTTAGGAACATATCTATTGGATACAAAAGTAATCCACTAGTTTAGATGATACATGTATCTTTAATCTTTTAGAGGGAGGGGGAGAACCTAGAAGCAATTTACATTATTCTAAATCATCATTACTTTGGTAGTGATTGTGATTTTTTTGAAATGCTCATTTTAAGAGTTGCTGAAATTTGATCAGGGCACTGTTTAAAACAAGATTTTTTTGAGAAAACCTTATTAGATAAATGGTGATTGCATGTATGTACCTATTTTTAAGTTATATATACTTGTTTGGTGATCTTTTCCTTTTTAAGCTATAGTTCTATAATTGTAACAAAATCTTCCCCCCTAATAATGTATTAAACTAATATTGCCCTCCTGAAAATTTACAAATTACAGGAAGTGTGCAGCATTCTGAGAATGTTAATGAGACTACAGATTAGATTAGAAATTGAGATGCAGTGATTTTACATGACAAGAGGAAACTTTCCTAAATACTGCCTGCTGAAGACAACATAATATTTATTTATTTATTTACATAGCATTTATTTTTAACCTCTAAATTTTTGTTGTCTAGAGGAGTTCTGGTTGCATAATGGTTTTGATTTGGGCTGCAATTTTAAGGTCAGCAGTTTGAAACCACCAGCTGTGCTTAGGGGAAAAGGTGGGGCTTTCTACTCCGTAAACCGTTTCAGTCTCAGAAACTCAAAGGGGCAGCTCTACCTGCCCTGTGAGTCAGCATCGACTCCATGGAAGTGAGTGTGGTTTTTTTTGGAGAGCAGCCAAGCATCCCCCAGACTCTGTGAATGTGTGCCAAATAAAAATAAAAACTTAGTCATCCTCATTGAGCAGTCTCACATCTATTCACGGTTTTACTTTTCTTTTGTAATACTTTATACATGTTAAAAATTACAAAGAAAAATTTTGAAAATCAAACTTAGTATCACTATGATTGTAATGTTGCTTTTTTAATACCTAGGGGCTGCTTATATTTTCCATATTAAAATTGAATTGTTAGTCTTAGTTGCTTGAGATGTAGGGAAAAATGCAATGATAATCTCCAATTATATTGTTAATAGTCTTTGATTTGGTAAATTGTTAATTCCTATCACCTCTAAAATTTTGAAGCTATTGGAGTTAAGGAAGAATGAATTATTTTGAATACAAGGCATTTGAAATACAGTAGTATAAAGTAGATGCAAGTTTGTACATGTAGAAAGCTTTATCAGATGCATTAGAGCCAGAAAACCACATTCTGTCCCAGTTAATTTGTTTTGTGGCATGAAGCTATGTGATGGAATGTGAATGTCAGCAACCTCTTTATTTACGCACCAAGGAAAAAGGAGTAGTAATTAACACTTTGACACTCCCCCATTGATGTGTAATTGACTGTTTCAAAGGAGCACTGGTTCATAAGCTATTGCATGCATTAAAATTGCGTTTTCTATATTGCAGCATTTTAAGACAGGGGTCAGTGACAATGCAGAAAGTGCTCAATGATGCACATTTTTTTATTACTGCATTAAGGTTTTGACATATTAGTAATGAATAAATGTTTCCATAAAATTAGATTTTTTATAACTTTAAAATTGAAATATGGCACTCACTTCATTGAAAGTCATGTTCTAGTTTTCTGAAACAGCACAGCTTTCCACCAGTCTGACTCATACTTCATGGCTTAATACTTTGAATTTTGAAAACAGGAGTTCCTAAAGGCTTTTAAGTTTGGTTGTTTTAAAATTATGATGGTGAACGTCAATTTAAAGTATTATATGCATGTTTCTGTCTATTAAATGATGGTTTATGTAATTCATTAGAGGAATCTTTACTTTATTCCTTGGTAAATTTGAGTTATGGTAAGGTAACTGCAAAAAGAGTAGCCATAAAATGGATTTAATTTAAAGGGTATTTTAAATTACATCTTGTAAATTTTCAGGCGTTCCAGCATTTTATGGAATGGCTTTTCTATTATGACCATAGAACTGAAAATGTTAAGGAATTTTCTTGTGTTGGCAAACATCAAGGAAATCTTTAGTTCTTGTTCTCCGTCAGGAAGTACAGGGTGAACTGAAAAGCCAAACTCACTGCCATCTAGTCATAATTTGAGCAGACACTGCCCCTGTGGGTTTCTGAGACTAAATCTGAGCGTCATCTTTCTCCTGCAGAGCAGTGTGCTTTCAAACTACTGACCCTGTGGTTAGCAGCCCAAGTCGGAAACCACTATGCCCCATGAAATTAAAAGAGAATGACATTTTAAGTTCCCTTTTAAAATGAAAACATTTCTAATTTAATTTGCCAAGTAAATATCAGCTTTCCCAATTTACCTTTTTTTTAAGAGCATCTATGCAAATTAGTGTTCTTTTATTAGACATTTCATACAAAGTGCTTTGGGGAAACTTAAATGTATATGTTTATATATATATATGGTTTAGATGTATTGTTAAGCATTTATTGTAGCTGAAGTTCTTTGATTACAAATATCTAAGTTCCACAGGTGGCATCAGTTGTTACACTTGTTTTATTGACATTGACAACTTGGGCCAACCTTAGCTTTATCTTGTGTCAACTGAATTGCCCTAACATGCCCACATTTAATCTGGTGTTATCCAGTTGCTACCTTCTTGCTTCAGAAAGTCAATCAGCATCTTATTTGCATTTGTTAATTAGAGTTAATGTGCACTAATTGATTTCTTGATGCTTGTAGATTTCCATTAAACTCAGTTAGCAATACTTGTGTACCTTGTTGGTTTGAGTTATGATGATCATGTTTTTGTTGAATCTATGCCAAACAGGAAAAAAAAGCCCGGATCATAATTACAGTTAATTAGCAGGTTATTATGCCCTATATTAATTGACTTCTCTGGTCTTCCGTATAAATGTTATAAATTTACACTTATTATGGAGGGCTAAAGAGAACTTTTTTAGCAGAATGAACTTGAGGCTTTGAATTATTTGGAAGGCAGAGAATAATTTGCTGAGTGTATGTAAAGCATTTGAAAGTTGAGAGTGTACAAATAATAGATTCCACATCTCATTTTTTTTAAATTAATGAATTAGCATCAGTACTTTTTTGACTTAGGACCAAGTAATGAATAATTTGGATATTGTAAATATTTGTATTTCTAATTCTTTGTTTTACATGCAAACCAGTATTCTAGACTTAGCACTGTCACTTTGTGACTACAAGTTATTTAATCTGTTGGTTCTCAATTTTGTTTTTCCCAATGAGAAGACAGGAATTAGTAATTCATTAAATTTCCTTCTAGAATTGCTTATGATATGGATAATTATAACAGCATGTTTTGTTAAAATAAAATAAAATTGTACTTACTTATACAGTTTTGTTTGCTTTAGAGAAATCAGGTGTCACTACTAAGTGGTGATGTTTAATCTAACACAAATTAAAAATGGACTCCAACATCACGCTGACTGTAAGAATAGTAGAGAACCAGGATGTGGTTATTCTGTTGTACAGAGGATCATCGTGAGTCAGAACAGACTCAGGGACACCTGGAGACAAGTACTATGAAAGCCTGATAATCTGCTTTCGGAATTTTGATTTTTAAACATTAACTCTAAAGTGATCTGAATAGAAATGGAATGTTTTCATAACTGAAAGTGTTTTTGAAAATATTTTAGAATTTCTGTTTTCCCAGCAAGAGTCACACAAAACAGGAAATGAGGAATCCCATGTTTAAATGAAAGCGAACAAAACCCTATACAGTGTGTTGTTATGAGTCGAGTCACAACTCGATGGTAGCACAGGGTAGATTAGTGAAAATAAGCTTAAGTAATTTATTTAATAGAAAATATTCTTGTGAAATGTACTTTGTAACTTCTAAAATCTGGGAATATACAAAATTTAAAACAATACTTTTAAGGCCTGAAAATAAAATTTGAAAACCCATTATTTTCAACCAATTAGTTGTTTTTAATGTATTCTAGAAATAGTAATTTTGAATATAGTGTGTAGGACCAGTTTATAGTTTGCAAATAAAAGAAACTTAAAATTATATGGTATGACTACTTAAATACAAGAGTTGTAACTGAAGGTTTTTCATTCTATGGATACTCATTGGGCTAACAACTGTGTTACCCAGGCCTCTTACATGAGCAGAACATGGCAAAAATGAGACTGCTTACTTTTATGGGAATGGCAGTGGAAAATAAAGAAATTTCCTTTGACACAATGCAGCAAGAACTTCAGATTGGGGCTGATGATGTTGAAGCATTTGTTATTGATGGTAAGGCAATTAATATTTTCATTTTTCCTCTAATACTTGTAATATGAGATATTTGATCGTGAATCTGAACCATATGAGGAGTCCCCCCTCCAAAAAAAAAAACAGAAAAAAATCTCCACTAGGTAAAGCTTTTGTAGTACACTAGGTGGGCAACTTGCTCTGAGTTAGTGTACCCAGTGGTGTGGCCTGGGATGGCTCTCTGTAAGCACAGTGAATTTTTTCATAAATGCATTTTCACTCCAACCTCATTTTTGGATGGCCAATTTAAGAGAACAGTGTGTGGCTGTGAAATTTGTTTCCTGCTTAGGAAAAATGTGACAGAAATTGTTTTGATATTGAACACAGCTTACACGGGACAGCACAGTGGAAAAAAAACTCAAGTATATGAGTGATTTTTCTTGGTCCAGAAAGGTGAAATATTGATTGATAACCTCATTCTGTATGTCTGTCAGCTTCCCAAATGGACAAAAATGTTGACAGAATTTGTGCATTTGAGCTTGAAGACCAATGACAGACCATTGAAGAGATGGGAAAGTTATTTGAACTGTCTTGGAGCTCGGTTCAGTGAATTATATAACAAAAGATTTGGGAAGGAGAAGGTTTGCTATGTAATTTGTGCTTTGGGTTGACTGACCAGGAAAGAGTTTCAAGTGGAAACATGCCATGCTTTGAAAAACAGATCTGAAGCCACCCAGACTTTTTTCCCAAGGCCATTACTGGCGACAAGACATTATGCTATTCTACTGACCCAAAAACAAACATCAATCAAGCCACTGGAAGACGCCTCATCACCTTGTCCCAAAAAAGCTCATCCAGTGAAATCGAAGATCAAGACAATGCTCATTTGGTTTTTGATGTGAGGGGAACAGCACATTTAGACTTCGTTCCACCAGGTCAGACTGTTAATCAAGCTTTCAATTTGTGTAAAAGTGTGTGACCAAAGAGGCCTGATTTGTGGCAGATTGAGGACTGATTTTGCCACTACGACTATGGACCTGCTCACACAGCCATCTCGGTGTGCTAGTTTTTGGCAAAAAAACAGCATGCCCCTCTTGTCCCATGCACCTTACTCACCTGACCTCGTTTCATGCAATTTCTATTTGTTTCTGCAAATGATGAAGAGAGACATGAAAGACAGTGACTTGACGACGTAGAAGTGAAGAAAAAAACGAGGGGGGTGCTCTCAGCCATCCAAACAGGTGAATTTGAAAATGTCCAAGAATGGAATAGCAGATTTGACAAAATGTATTCAGTGTTATTACGGAGGTTACTTTGAAGGTTATAAGGTTGTTTTGTAAAAAAAATTAAATACATAGCTTTGAAAAATTCCTGGGTTTTTGGGGGTACCCCTCCTATAGGTTCTTTGTAGCAAAGCTGTGTTTAGTAGATTAAAGGTTATATTTGTAGTAGAGTGAAAATTCATTGATACCATACATTACTATGTAGTTGTTTCTTCTGTCCCTTGGAATCACATAGAAAAAAAGCCTTTAGGCTAAAATAACAGATTTTATTGTCAGATTCCTTAGATTTGAGGCCAGGTCTTCCCCTTATGAAATAGGAATATATGGGTTCATTTGTGACTGTGAGGATTAAATAAAACACTTAACCAGGCAGACATGTAGTAAATGTTCTGCAAATTTTAACCACTAACAATTTTATATGATTAAAATGATGTGACTATTTTAAACCAGGAATTTTCATTTGAAAGATTAAGATTCATAAAGTATGTAGAACTGTTACAATAATTCCTTTCTAGAATGATTTAAATCTCCAACTGTCCTATAGATACATAATATCCTACTATTAAATTAGCCATCCCGCTTCCCCCCAAAATATGATTCTTAGTAAAAACTGTATGGAATACTAACTATAGGTAAGCCCAGCAGTCATAGCACAAATGAATGACCTTGATTACTTTGCATATTCTTAAATGCAAACAGCTAGTTTGTAAAATAATGTTGGAAAATAGTGTAAATTTTATATCATATCATGTAAAACGTTTTTTTCAGCTGTAAGAACTAAAATGGTCTACTGCAAAATTGATCAGACCCAGAGAAAAGTAGTTGTCAGGTAAGACATTTAATACTGTACAGCGTTTTATAGAACAATTTAGTTTGTTCTGATTATTTCACTTAAATGTTTAGTATTCTAACAAGAACAAAGGTGTTTTATCAGTTGACTGTAGTTAAATAGTTGCCATTTATCATAATTTTATTAAAGTTCAGACTGAATGTGATTAGCTTATTTAATGAAAGAGTCCTATTTTCCAGCACATTTCATTTAATGGCTCAGCATTGGCTAGAATACTAATGACTTTTGTGTCTGTTTTATATAGTTCAAGAGAATAGAAGGTTTAGGACCAATATGGTAGACTTATAAAAATATCTGATAGTTAAATTCTTTAATAAGTATAAATTATGCCTTATGCATATTCTTGCTTTTAATTAGATATGTATAGTGTTTGAACATGACTGTCACAGATAAAATGACTAATAGTTTGTTTTTTAATTTTTCAATTTTTAGCCATAGCACACATCGGACATTTGGAAAACAACAGTGGCAACAACTGTATGACACACTTAATGCCTGGAAACAAAATTTGAACAAAGTGAAAAACAGCCTTCTGAGTCTTTCTGATACTTAAATTTTTATGCATATAAAATAAAATTATATCACAGTAAAACATTATTGACTGAAATTAAAGTCTGGGAATTTATTGTCTCAAATTTAAAGTAAAAGAAAAGCCACAAACTAGAAGAGATAAACAAATTAGAAGATCAGTGTCTCCAAACTGAATCAATATGTCTATATTGCATACCGAGTATAAGCCGACCTGAATATCAGCCAAGGCACCTAATTTTACCACCAAAAATATGCTGAAAAACTTGGCTTATACACTAACATATATGGTAATTTACTTTACGTTGTGTTCTACAGAAGATTTTGAAGCACGAGAGCTATGATAAAGATCTTGCATGAAAAACAAGGTTTAAGAATTTCTTGGTTAATTCAGGAAAGTTGGATACTAAGGGCAAACTATTTGCAAATATAGAAACTATCTTAAGTGAAGCAGAGTAGATACAATTAAGGATTTTGTCACATCAAAATGGAAAATGACAACTGTTAGACTTTAGAAAATGGTCATTCTAATAAAAATTACATCAATATTTCAATTAAATTAGTACTATCACTGAAAGCACCTACCATTGTTACTCAGTTTTTTTCTAGCTCGTTTGCTTTTCTTTTTCTAGATTGGTTAACATTTTCTAAACTAAGGAATTTTTCAATTTCGTTGATTTGATTTGTTAGGAGGTTCTGCCAGTCGTCTTCACCAGTGGGAGAGGCAACAAAACCAGGAATAGTGTGTATCTTGATTTCCTGAAAGGGGCTTTGAGGCAGAGCTGATTTCCAAGGCTTGGTTTTGACCTAGGAAAGACCACATGTATTTTACCATTAAGGTTATTAATCATAGTTTCTACACAATTATGGACAACAAAAGGCATAAGGGAAATTCTGTTAAGCCTCTGCAATTAGTATGTGATAAATCCCTCATTTTGGCGATTCTCCAACAAGTACCTTAGTAATTTTGGCATTACACAACTATATAAATTTATAAGCATGTAGTGACATGCTTCAAAACCTGTAATATATTCCAGGGATACCACAAATACCATTAGAGGTCTTGAGCTTATATTAAAAGGAAAGATACTTAATGCAGATAAAAATCTGCTTTGTCTTCTACTCCCTCCCCAAAGATGTGTCTTATGTTTTGTCTCATATCAAAGCCTGGGGAAATTTTTAAATTATAACGGAAATAAGCTGCCGTATAAAAAGTGCCTTTACTTCATGTTTCCTCTCATGCTTCAGAGCACCATTGTTGAAGAAACAGGAAAGAGTGATGAGATATTTAGAAATTGGCATGTTTCCAAGACACTACATTGAGTCATCCTTAGATTACTGTTTTTTTAAGAGTTATAAAGTTTTTTAAAAATATACTTATTAGAGATTTAGAAAATTATTCTAAGCTAAAAATTAATAAACCACGATCCAGACATACCTACCAGTATTTTGGTATTAATTGCTGCTAGTCTTTGTCTACTTTTAGCATATTTGCTAATTCTATAGAATTTTATATGTCTTCATAAACAATTGCCAGTGGCTGCAAAATACTCCCTCCCTTGTATGATTTTGTGGTAATTCAACTGTTCTCCACTGGATGTTTTTATTGTTTCTAACTTTTCCCTTTTAAAAATAAATGCATTCATTTTAAAATCGTGTAAGAGCCCAAAAATCATTCAGTGTACACATCTAGAATTTTTGCATCATTAATTTTGTATATGTTACTTTTAAAACTAGCATTTCCCCTGTAGAGTATAAGCCTGGCTTCCATACTATTCCAAGTTCTGTAACTTAATTCTGTTGGACATTTAAGAGTGGGAAAATACTGATATAAATTAGTCCGGTGAATATTTGCTCATAAGGAAATTTATTCCAGGTTGTTATTGAATATTGAAGTTGGTGGAATTTGAAGTAAAATGATTGATAAGTATGATTGCAGTGTCAAAATGCTTGGTGCATTTGTATCAAGCCAATTTTCCCAATTGATTCATTCATTGGCTGGTGATGGAGAGGAAGGCATTCAGACACATACTTTAGTTTCCCTTTGAAGGAGAGGCAGACACACCAATTGGCTGTAGAGAATCAAATGGAATATACTGTGGGTTGGCTAAGGTGTAAGAGTATTACTTTTTTTAAGTTTCAGCTATTGTCAGAGTTGAAAGTCCATGTCTTACTCCTTCCCTTAACTCCTTAAGAATTTTTCTCTTTGTTACCACCTCCCTTCTACCTGGTGCAAAAGACTTCTGTGGCTTACACTATGCTTCCGTAGAATACTGTTTTTACATGCCGTCTAGTTGATTTTGGCTCAGTGACCCATGCACAGCACTGAAACACTGCCTTACATTATCCTTCCACTCATTGCTGCTTGAACCCATTGTTAAAGCCACTGTCAGTCCATCTTTTTGAGGGTCATCTTTTGCTGACCTACCCAAAGCATTTAGGAACTGGTCTTACAACATGTCCAAAGAACATGAAACAAAGTCTTATCATCCTCGACCCTAAGAAGCATTTTGGCTGTACTTCCAAGAGGCAGTCCATGGTACTTTGAATATTCTTTACCAGCACCATAATTCCAATATGTCAATTCTCTGGTCTTACTGTCTAGCTTTAACATCCATATGATTAAAAACACCCTGGCTTGAGTTGGGTAATCCAAAAATATGTGCACAAACATTATTCTAATGTCTAGCACATAAGTGTTCAACAGTTCATTTAGTGAAAATACCATGGCCTGTCTCAGGTCTTCAAAATGACATCTGCTTTTTAGCACTCTAAAGGTATTTCCCAACATGTTGATTTCTTGGTTTCTGTTCCCATGGGTATTGATTGTGGATTCAAGTAAAAGACCCTTGACTATTTTAATTTCTCTCTTTATCACGATACTGCTTATTGGTACAAGTTCTGAGGATGTTGAGATGTAATTCATACTGAAGGTGAATATCAGTAAATGCTTCAAGACCTCTTCACTTTCAACAAGCAAGGTTGTGTCATCTGCTTATCTGTTATCTTCCTCCAATCCAGATGCCAAGATCTTCACACAACCCAGTTCCCAGATTACTGGCTCAGTTACATGTAGTAAGTGGTAAAAGAACACAGCCTTTATGCACACCTTTCCTGATTTTAAACCAGGAGGTATCCCTTTGTTATGTTTCAACAACTGTCTCTTGTTAGGGAAAAGTTCCACATAAGCACAGTTAAGTGCTCTGGAATTCTCATTCACATTGTTATCCATACTTTGGTAATCTATGCAATCAAATGCCTGCATGGTCAAGACAGGTAAATATCTGGTAGTCTCTGATTTCAGTCAAGATCCATCTGATAACTAGGAATAATATCCCTAGTTCTTTTCATTTCACCCTGTAGTTGTATCTTAAAATTTAACTGAACTTTAATTCATTGAATATGTGAAATTAGTGGCTTTCTCTGGTCTCTCCCATCCTCATTGGTAATCAAGACTGTAGTAGTCCATCAAAAAGAGTAACTTTGAGCCATAGAGATAAAAGGGATTGGCATATAACACCTGCCCTAAGTTTGACAGCAGTAGTGTTATCCATGTGTGTAAAATGTTGAAAATTTTATTAAAGAACTTACATTCCTTTTCCATGTATAGTCTGTACAATTGATTTGCTTTTATTTAGAATGTGGAATTTCATCAGGCCCTTACATTATTTGAAAATTGGACAACAATCTCTAATAATTGTTTACAAGGTAGTAGACATTCTAGCCTCAATACCCTCAAGTTTCCTCTCTTCTTTGATTCTGTGCTTCACCCAACTGGCCAAAGTTAGGGCTTAAGATTTCTCCAATATTGGTCTCCAGTTCTATTGTCATTGTTAACATAATACACTTGCACAGATCAAGTTCTTGCTCAGCTCAACCATTGAAAAGGTGAGAACAGTGGATCCTGATGTTTCTCAGAGGAAGATTATGTACTATCTCATTTGAAGAGCCTTTAAAAAGGCAAAGAAAAGATATTAAAAGCTGTTTTTGCTTCAGATGTGTTAGTACTTCTCTATTATTAAAGAGAGTTGTCTAACATCCCTAAAATGTATTACGTTCTATCCTGGTGCAGATTTTTTAAGTAGCTAATCTTTGTTAACTTCTTTAGATCACCTTTCAGCATTTAACCCTGTAATAACCATTTTTTGGACTGATGTTACAACTGTTTTCCTCTCAAAACTTCTCTAAACTATAAAACTTAAAGCCAAATAAATTGGCAGCTGTAGTAAGATGCATTTCATAAACGGAATCTGGAAATGTTCACAAATACTTTGCTTAATGCACAAAACCAAACTTACTATCATGAATATTTGCCTCTGACATTTATGTGTAATAATGTAAGTTTATTTCATTGTGATAAGTTTCTAAAAGTAGTGTAAATTAAGCACTACTGAAAACAATGAAACTTTGGAAAGTTGATTACTTTCATCTTTTATAAAATAAGAATTTGCATGTTCAACTATCAAGTCCTAAATTTAGGCAAACAAAAAAATAGTAGTACATAACATGCTACCTCACACTCTCCTTCCCCCAGCAGGCTGGATTATATCTCTTTGATTTATACACTGTGACTTTTTCCTGCTGTTTTCTATCAACCTTAATTGTGAAAAATGGTGCAATGTTGCCCTCTTGATATTATTTTGGAGATCAGTTAGGTCTTAAAACATCCAGATGCATACAGTTCTACACATATCTGTAGAATTAGCTCACTAAAGTCTGCTCGGCAATATTTTTTAATTGACTTACGTGTTCTGTGGGAAAAGAAGAATCATAAAAAGCCTTTGCAGTTGCATTCCTCTCTTCACTGGGCTCTCCCTTGGGATCTGGATGCATACTGGAGTTATTCTGAGTGTCAGCAGCTCTGTTGATGCTGGTAGTATCTGATTGACATAGAGGAAATGGCAACAACTGAATGTTATTCTCTGGGCACTCCTTTTAGTGACCGAACTTATTTCTCTCTGATCCATGCTTTTGTACTTAAAAAGTAACCATGTCTCTTTTCATTTTACTCTAAATATTTTATAGTTTTTACTAGGCTTTGTTTTCATGTTAGGCATTCCATTTCATAAAACAAACAGAAGGTTTTACTATATTTTCTAAAACCTGCTCACTATAATTTCCCATTAAAAAGAATAAATGCCATAAATGTAATTATCTTCCAAGACAATAACTCACATAAATGATTATTCCCGATTCCCCTGGTTACTGCATTATCAACACATGTAAACATTTATATAGTGGACATTTCACCCATTGAGATTAATGGCTAAGATCTGAATCAACTAAATGCTGAATGTATAAAATATATTTAAAGAAATTGGCTATAATAAAAGCACCACATACAGCTGTCTACAAGGGGTTACTGGGTTTTATAAATAGTTAAGAATGATTTAAAGAAACTTGTCAACTCTAAAGGTTAAAAGATGCTTGTGGCATGTTTGTTTAAGAGTATTTTACAAGTTGAATTAATACAGCATGTTAGATATCTTTCCTTCCATCGTATTTCTACAATCAAGAATTAGAAGAAAGGGCCTGTGAGAACATGGTAAACACTAAGCCATCCCCGGAAGGAGCATCTGACAGACTCTAAATTAATGGACTCCAAAGTAAGACACTCCGTTAGAGTAGGAAAATTGTAGTTTGGGGAATGAAGTTTTAGTATTTTCTATTCCTCCACCCCCTACCTCTCCAATGATGCCCATAAACAAGATAAATATTTTTTAAAATATTTTTCTCAATTTCCTTTAAAAGTCTAATGACCACGTAAATCTTTTCTTGTAACATTTCTTGAATGGGTCTAATACATGCTGTTAAAATGGCAAAATTCCCTTAAAATCTAAGAATGTTTGACAGTCTAGATAGCTTTGAGATTGCTATTAGCAAAAGAAAGGTATTTTCCTCATGATAAGTGATTATGCATCTAAACTAATATTTATTGTTATCTTCAGCTAACATACACAGTACTTATTCATGATATCTTTCCATTTTAAATATGAAAATTTTCAAACACACGCAAAAATAGAGTATGAACCTAGCGTCAACATCACCCAGCGTCACCACTTATCAATATAACTTCTTTTATCTATTGGCTTCTGCTCCTATTCTTTCCCCTCAGCCCACCCTAGAGTATATTTAAGTAAAACTTGGACATTATGTAATTTCATGTGGTGGTTCTTACTAAGGCCACTCTTCTCAAGCATCTAAGATTTGAGCATGTTAATAGAGGCATATAGAAGTACTGAATTTAAAGGATTTTAAGTAGCAAATATTAGCGATGTGAAATATACTAATGCAATACTTCAGTACTACTTGTACAATAAGGAATGAAAACAACTTTGTTTTCTTACCTATTCCAGCATCCTTCTTAATTTCACCCACATCAATATTTTTACCAACTGTCATTGGAACAATCTTGTTTTCAGATGAAACGATTGGCCTTTCCTTCAGCCAGGGAAGCATGCTAGAAGCTGAAGTACTCACTGTTTGACTTTCAATTTGATTTACTTTTGACCAAGTACCAGGATCTAAAAAATTCCAGCGTACGGGAGTTTTCTCAGTTTTTTTGTCTGAAGTTGAAAGATCAAAGGCTGACCTTCCACTTCTATTTACTAAATCTCCAGATGGCTCTATGTGAAATGAACACGGGTCTTCTAGCTGTCCTTTAGTGTAAACTTGTTCTGAAATGGTGTCATTTAATGACTCTGTTTTCTCCATAGTATTTAATAAAGAATGCTGCCCTTCATGAACAGTCAAAAAAAGGGAGAGATCTTTTTTTGTGGCTTCAGTTATGAGATTCTCGTCAATCTGATTCTCTTTATTGGAAAACGGTGATTCTGTAGAAGTTGTCGTGTGAATAGCAGTTTTCATATATTTGGCTTGTGAAGCCTGTATATTTTCATGATCAGTTTGAAGAAGGGGAATAGTCACATTACTATTTTCTAGATATTCCTTAAACCGACTGCTTTGCATGTCATTCAGATCTTTCCATGTGGTTCTTGTCCCAGGGTTTGAAGTGGGTTTCACCAACATAGGCACAATATTAACGTTTTTACTTGAATTTTCATGAAGTTTCAAATTATCACTGGAAACAGTGGATGAAATGGGATGACTGCCTGCTATGTCACAGGGAATGCTGAGTTTAGCCTTTTCCAAAGTATCATTACAGACTTGCTGAAAATCTGAAGTTTGTTTAACTGGCAATATGCTGCACTCGCCTTTTTTATTTAATAATTGTATTTGTTTTATTTTACATAGTTTGTCATCTAACATAATGTGATTTGAATCCTGTAAACTATATTTTTCACCCTGAACAGGATCCTCTTTTACATCTCGAGATGAATTCAGATCAGCTTTAGTTTGGTCAGTATTTGTAATTTCCCTCTCAGCGTTTTCTTGAGTGCCCAGAAGAAGTCTAAATTGCTGTTTGAATGGTTCATTTTCAGAAATATTTTTATTATGATTTGTACTGTGAGCCATTTCATTTAAAGTACTGTCAAATGCTGTTCTGTTGTTTTCAACTTCCAGATATATGTCTGGATGCTGATGATCTAATCCATCTGTACTTTTTGGGTGAATCATTTTTGTTTCTACTGCCATATCGAACAATAGACTTCTTGGTGGTTTAAATTCTGTACATCCATTGTCTTTTTCCAAGCACACCTTGTCTTTTATATTTGCAGCAACTGATTTCTGAAGGCCAGTAACATTTAAAGTTTGTCCTTGACTAATTAATTTTTTGTCTAAGCAAAGAGTTTTGCTTAGGAAAATTTCATTTTGGTTTTCATTCTGTGGTACAGTATTATCGACATCATTCTTGCAGCATTTTTCAAGAAGCTGTAAATCTGTCATGATGAGAATACACACAAAAATTGCATATTATATATCTTTAAAAAATATATTTATTTCTATTTTTATTTATTTTAAATGTTGTTGTAAACTGAAGACTCAATTCTGACTTAACTTTAAATATTTCATTAGCCAATAATTACACAAATACAATGACACCAATTTTACCTAACTACTGAATTGCTTTTATCATAAATAAGCATTTAGTTAACATGCTAAATATTTGACTCTATCCATATTAACTATTTCATAACAGCAAAAGTAATTTGTTTTTAAAGGAAAGAAACTTGTGGGGTTACAAAGTGGTTTTTATATCTCGTCTACTTCCTTTTGGGCATCCAGCACAATTCCATATAAATATACAGCTAATTATGTAAAATATCATTTACCCTAACGTTTATACAATTAATTTTTATTGCTACCCTGATCCAGCTACATACATATGTATATACATACATATATATACATATATATGAATCGCTAGCTGTTGTCTTCAAGACTGACACTCATCACTTCATTATTCACCCTGCAAATATTTTGAAATGATGGGATAGTTCTAGACATGTGTACAGAAAATCTACTTAAACCAGACATTAATTTTATCCATGCATGTTCTAACCATAGACTTCAAGTTTTCAATATAGATTCATAATCTGCATACAAACTTCAGGGCTTGAATGGGCTTTTTTAGTCCAATCTTTCTCTCTACAACATCTCCACCAAGTGGTTGTTTAGCCTAGGTTTGAACATCTTCAAACAATCACATCTTTCAACAACTCTTTTTCAAGATGAAAGAATTAGTAAATTGTTTCAATGGTTTCAGAAGACTCATTTCAACTAAGAAAGTGCTCTAGAACTGATTAACAGAAGGCTACTGGTGACCAAGAGAACATTCTCAAAAAGCAGTGAAGACAGAAACCAGTCAGTGAGAGAAGGCAGAATGTATTTTCCCCCTACATATATTGACTCTTAAGAAAAACACGAAGAAAACTTGTTTTGGTATGGCAAATACAAATGAAAAGACATGTGTTTGTCCCAACTGTTTTACAGAATCATCAAAACAACTATTGTAAATATGTTTATTCTCTTGAATTTCTTTGAGGGCCCCAAGCAGTGGTTTGCACGAAAGCCAAATAATACAAAACCCACTGCTATCGAATCTACTCCAACTCATAGTGAACCTGTAGGACAGAGTCGAACTGCTCATTAGGATTCCCACGAGTGTAAATACTGGAGCAGACAGCCTCATCTTTCCACCAAAGTGCAGCTGGTAGGTTTGAAATGCTGATCTTGGGGTTACCAGTCCAATGCTTAACCCACTAAATTACCAGTGGTCCTTGCTTTGTATAAAGCAATTGTTAGAAAATTGTGTTAATTGATGGCTGACCATTTGTGAGGGAAAAATGTCAATGCAGCAATTAGAAAATATTCAGACAGTTTGAGGTTACCTTCTTTAATGGTCTCTCCGACCTGCAGATCTTTCTTTTCTTCCCTTTCTCTGTGTTCAGTGTCTGAACAAAAACTCACACTATTGTCTCCCCTTCGTTTTTGCACAGAACCATATTCTTGTATGATGGTGACTCCTGGATTTTCAGCTGACACTTTACTGCTTTCACTGCTTACTTCAGGAACATTCTAATAATGGGGGGGGGAAAGATTTCTTTTATGTAAAAGCAGATTGTTTAAAAAGCAAAACATTTGAGAAAACTACTGACAAAAGTAGAATCTGTGTTTTAACTCAACTATTCAGAATTTCTATCTGAAGGCCAAATACTGTAAGAATTATTTTTAAAATCAGTTGGCCTTCAAATCGTATACCTTTAAGAAATGAAGGAAAAATACTTTTACAGACAAACAAAAGCTGAGAGAATGCATTACCAGCAAATATGCCCAAGACAAATGTTAAAGAAAGTTCTTGGACTAAAGAAATTTGGTATGAAGTGGAAGCCTGGATCTACACAAAGGAATGACCTATGTCAGAAATGATAAAGAAGTGACTATGAAATTTTTTATCACACAGATCCAAGAATGGGTTTGGGGCACACACTAAATCCTAGCCCCAATTTAAGAACAATTAGTTATTACATCATGACCCTGCATGATACTCACTCTCAGGAAAGGAACACAGAAGACATGGATGCAAGAACAAAGTGTGGGGGGAAAATTAGATGGTTCTAGCTATCAGATAAAATAGTGCCTGGGGTCATAAAGGCTTGTTTCCAAACAAGCAGCCATCTAAGTCAGATGTCAACCAAGTCCACGTCGTAGAAGCGCACCAACATCAATGACCAAAGGATTATAAATCATATAACCCAAAGCTGAAGGAGGGAATAGTATCAGAGCCCAAATTGTGGAGATTCTGGTGTGTAGAAGACTATGGATAACAGTGGAAGCCCAAAATACATTTGTGAGATCTGCACAGTAAATAAGCCTCCAGTGATTTCCCTCTTTCTAGAATGAAGGGATGGAAATAAAATGGTTACCAAACAGCGTGCACTGGAGAGGTGACTGAGGAGATCAGAATGATATGGTGAAAACCTCGTCAGTTGATCCCTCATCTTATACTTTATACATGTTGGGCTTGGTCTGGTTTTCAGTTTTTTCTGTGTGTGTGTGTTTTCCCCAATGTGGGCTTTATCTCTGATGTATTTGTCATTGGGGGTAGCTGTCTTGACATTTTGTTGTATTTTTTTCTGCTTTTCAGTGTATGAAACAGATTGATGAACCAACAGAGACAGCAAGTAGAGTAAGCGTTCCTGGAGGGTACAGTGGGCAAGAAGGAAGAGAATGTTTTGAAACTGATGGTCATAGCAGTTGTGCAATACTGCTTGATGTGATTGAACTATGGAATGATATATCTGTATTAGCTCCCGATAAAAATGGCTTAAAAGAGAAAAAAAGGATTACTATGACAACATCGTTCTATTAGTATTAAAGCTCAAAGTTTAGTAAAAAAATATTTTAATCTAATTTTTAATTTTCTTTACCTGATAAAAGTGTTATAGAAAGATAAATAGCAATATCTTGTGGGGTTTATAAATATATATAAGTAATAGCATAAAGGATTCATATCATTTAAAATTCACTGCCATTGAATCATTTCCAACTCATAGCAACCCGATAGGACAGCATAGAACTGCCCCTGTGGCTTTCTGAGGCTGCAACTTTTCAGAAGTAAAAAGCCTTACCTTTCTCATCCTGAGTTTGCAGCCCAACACATAAACACTGCCAAGACTCGTAGCACAAAGGGTAGGAAGAGGAAAATGAAAATATACTGTTCTAAACTTCTTACCTGACCCAAGAATTTGATATAACATTATTTGAAATTATACTCTGATAAATTAAACTCTAAAGCAGGACTTGGCAAATTATGACCATAGTGAATAAATCAGAATAGACTTGCCCATGTGGGTTTCTGGGACTATAACTCTACAGGAGTAGAAAACCTCTCCCACTAAAAGCAGCTGGTGACTTTGAACTGCTAACCTTGAAGTTAGCAGCCTAATGGATAACTACTATGCCGCCAGGGTTCATAAAGAGAAATAACCAATTAAGTAAAAAAATTAACAAAAGTTTAAATAAATTAGCAAATTAAATCCCAAACTGAAAACCCAAACTCTCTGCCATGAGGTCAATTCCAACTCATAGCAACTTTATAGAGCATGGTAAAACTGCTCATGTGCATTTCCAAGACTGAAACTCTTTACTGGAGTAGAAAGTCTCTTTCTTCATCAGAGTGGCTGGGTAGTTTTGAACTGGTAACCTTGAGGTTAGCAGCCCAATGCATACCATTATGCCAGTAGGGCTCCTAAACCAAATCTGGTATATATAAAATAATACATTATAACCAATATGGGATTACCTAAGGAATACAGTTCATTTTAACATTTGAAAATCAATAATACAATCCCTCATATTAGTATAATATTAAAAATACATTTAAAATATATGATACACACTTGTATCATATCACATAAGAAAGAAACTAGGAGGAACCGATTATAAGGATCCATATATAACCTCCTCCCTGGGGGACAGACAACAGAAAAGTGGGTGAAGGGAGATGTCAAGATATGACAAAATAATAATTTATAAATTATCAAGGGTTCATGAGGGAGTGGGGAGCGGGAAGGGAGGGGGTAAAATGAGGAGCTAATGCCAGGGGCTTAAGTGGAGAGCAAATGTTTTGAGAATGATGTGGGCAATGAATGTACAAATGTTCTTTACACAATTGATGTATGTATGGATTGTGATAAGAGTTGTATGAGCCCCTAATAAAATGATTTTTTTTAAAAAACGAAGAAACTCGGAATTAAGGCAAATGTCTTCAACCTGATAAAGGAGCTATATGAAACCCTAAAGTTAACACAATAGGAAACAGTAAAAGACTAAATACTCTTCAAGATAAGAAACAAGGCAAACATCCACTTTCACAACTTTTATTCAACACTATACTATAAGATCCTCTCAAATAACCAAACCCCTGCTATTGAGTCAATGCTGACTCACAGTGACCCTCTAGGACAGGGTTGAACTGCCCCCGTGGGTTTCTGAGGCTATGACTCTACATAGAAAGCCCTGTCTTTCTCCTGAGCAGCTAGTGCTTTCGAACTGTTGACCTTGCAGTTAGCAGCCCAATACTACTTCAATGAACAGAAAGATAAACTATATTCATGAATTGGAAGTTAAAATTTTTAAGATGTTATTTCTTTCCAAATTAATCAATACATTCCAGTCAAAATCTCATATACTTTTTAAAAGAAAATGACAAACATTTTAAAAAGTTATGTGGAAATGCAAAAGACCTAAAGTAGACAAAAACAATTTTGAGCAAGAATAACAAAATCAAAGTATTTATCCGTTCTCATTTTAAGACTTCTTACAAATCTAAACTAATAAAAACCAACACCAAACTCACTGCTATGGGGTTAACGCTGACTCATAGTGACCCCCTCAGGGTTTCTGAGATTATAACTGTTTACACCATTTGGATCATAGCTCAATGCTCAATCACTACACCACCAGGGTTCTAATAAAGATGATGTGATATTGACTTAAAGAGAGGCATGTAATGAAGAAAACAACATAACAAAGAGTCCTGAAATGGACTCACAAATATCTGGTTAATTGATTTTCAATAAAACGATTAAAAATAAATAAAATTTTTTTTAAAGTACCAAGGTACTTCAATGGAGAAAGGATAGTATGTTCAAGATACATGTATGATGGAACAACTGGAAAACCATATCCATAAAAATAACTATTAATCTTTACCATATACTATATACAAAAAAATGAACTAAAAATGTAAGACAACTTGCTTATATCTTTTTTTTTAAGTTGAGAAGCTAAAAGTATAAAGCAGGAAAAAAATTATCAGTGGTATTTCTAATTTCTTTAATAGTTTTATATCTTCAACATACTTGAATTTTACCTGAAATGTCTTGTCTTCCTCAAACTTTTTCTGATCACATATTTTATTATACTGTTCTTGTAACTTAAGATGAGCTTCTTTAAGTAGTGATAATTCATTTTCAGTATCTCTAATTTTTCCATTAAGTTCTTCAACCTATTACAAAATATAACCAACATTAGCTAGAAATATATTTTTAAAAGAATATCTTGCTAACACGAGTTTTATGAAATAGTACAAAAAATGTTAACACAAAGTAATAATTACTATTAAAATCTACCATTTGTTGTATACTTACTATATATCCTGTATAATGCTGAGTACTAATAATTTTACACTCATAAAAACCATGTAAGCTTTTTTAATCCTCAATTTGTAGGTGTGAAATATGAAGCACACAGATATCAAGTAACTTTCCCAAGATTACATGGATGCAAATTGGCAGTTGGGATACAATCTAAAGACAAATATAAGAGCTGTGTTCTTATTACTACAAAATTAACATATTGTTACAAATGAAATATGATGAAATTATCTTCATAAAAATTCTATAAAAGTTACACCTTTAAAAAGCCACATACCTCACATTTTACAGGCTGAGGTACAGCCAACTGGGTAGGGAACAGACCAACCCAAGCCCAAGGATGTACATGTCATTCCAACACAAAGAAGGGGAAAAGGGTGGGGGGCGGAGAGGGAAATTATGACACTGAGGCAGTAGGGCACTAATCCTCCCAGGGGGAGGGTATTGTTTAAGTCTCCACAGAAATGAGAGTATGAGTACAGAGCCCACCACAGTACGCCAAACCTTGAGGGCAACAAAATCACAAAGCAACTCATTGCATTTGGTCCCCACCCCCCCACCCCCCCCACCCCCGACCTTCCTGTTATTAGTACTCCCAATTCTGATCCTGAGGGGTTTACCTTACATGGATTTGTTTGTTGTAAGCTCGTATCTGTACCAGTGTACATGCTCCAGTCTAGCCAGAACTGAAAGGCAGGGCTAAGGGGTCATGATAGTGGGGGGTAAGGAAGCTCCCTACTCAAAGAACCAGAGGATTATTATGTGTTTCATTGGTGCTATACTGTGCCCTGGTTGACTCATGTCTTCCTTGTGACCCTTCTGTGAAATGTCTTATTGTGTACAAATGGGTTTTGGGTCTCTGCTCCAATCCCCTTGTTTTCAACAATATGTTTTTGTTTTGTTTTGTGTCTTCTGATGTCTGTTACCTGATCCTGTCAATGCCTCATGATAGCACAGACTGGTGTACTTCCATGTGGGCTTGTTGCTTTTCTACTAAATGGCTGCTTGTTTAACTTCAATCCTTTTAAGACTCCAGATGCTATATCTTTTGATATATCTACTGATAGCTGGACACCATCCGCTTTCTTCATCACATTTGCTTATACATCCAGTTTGTAAGACTGTAACTGTTACGGGAGTAGAAAACCCTGCCTTTTTTTCATGGAGTGAATGGTGGTTTTGAAACATTAACCTTGCAGTTAGCAGCTCAACTTGTAACCACTCATCCACCAGTACTCCTAGATAAAGAGTACTGAGCCCTAATTAAGTTACTTCGACCTAATTACTTACATCTATAACTTGGGCTCTCACTGGCTATAAAATCTCATAAACCAAAAAGTGCTCTTTCATAGGAACAATGAATGAAACAATGTTAAGCTTCACTGAAGAGGAAAAATCACTGTGTAAAGGAAGATTTTTAAAATTTCTCTTAATTTTAAAACACCTACTACAAAGTCTTCAAATGCATATAATAGTCTTTATTTGACATAATAGTCCTTATATAGGCTAACAGCCATGCACTTACCATTTTCTTCAATTGAGTCTATTTTTAGTCATTCTTTTTTTTTATCATTTTATTGGGGGCTCGTACAACTCATCACAATCCATCCATCCATCCATTGTGTCATGCACATTTGTACATTTGTTACCATCATCTTCTCAAAACATTTGCTTTCAAAAAAGCGGTCATCTAGCTGAGAAGCATCAAAGCCCACATGGAAGAAGCACACCAGCCTGTCTGATCACGAGGTGTAGAAGGGACCAGTTATCAGACATCAAAGAACAAAAATCATGTCATTGGGTGCCCACCTTCCCGATACAATAACTGAAGACAAATGTGTGCATAAGCAAATGTGGTGAAGAAAGTTGATGGTGCCCTGCTATCAAAAGATATAGCGTCTAGGATCTTAAAATGTTGAAGGTAAACAAGCGGCCATCTAGCTCAGAAGCAACAAAGCTGACATGAAAGAAGCACACCAGCCTGAGTGACCAAGAGCTGTCGAAGGGATCAAGTATCAAGCATCAAAGAACAAAAAATCATATCATTGTAAATGAGGGTGAGTGCAAAGTGGA